GATCCAGTTTTAGAGTTTAGAAACATCATCACTGTTGCAACCAGTTTCAATTATAAACATTATTAAATCACATTAGAGGGTAAACAAAGGGATCACATCCATCACAGCTCTGACCTATGAACACTGCAGCAGCAGCTTCTATTCAGTTCAGTTTATTTTTTTAACTCCAGTTCACCACAAATATTTTACAAAAATGATCAACTCAGCCTCATTATGCAGGTCCAGTTCCTGTAACCCTATTAACACACTCAGGCTCAGTTCACTTTCTAATTGGTTAAAAAAGTTTTACATCACATCTCCTGTACTAGCATGTAGCGACAGTGGAGAGAAAAACTCCACTTTAACAGGGAGGAACAACAGAACCAGAACTGGACGTCTGCCGTGACCCACTGGGTTTGAGACAAAACACAGCAGCACTGATCCAGGACCAGCAGAACCTGCTATGGTAAAAAATTAAAAACTCATAAAACTCTGCAGCTTCAGGTCAGAATCCTGTGAGTTTGATGGAACCAATGCAAGATACTAACTGATTACAGTTCATCCAAACAGTAAAGCAACATGTTCATAAAAAGTCTAAATAAATAAACAGGTTGGCACCGTAGCTAGCAACACACTGTATTACACGGCGGCCATGTTGGACTCTGAGGTCAGAGTTGGTGTCAAACCTTCAACTCTGCAAGTGGGAATTTCAGATTTGGGGTCCAGAGTTACTTAATGTTAATGTTAATGTCTGAACAAATGGGAGGAACGTTTATTATAACAGAAAATATCTGCAGAAAATTAATTAGAAATTAAATTTGGCTACATTTATCTGAAATGGACTAAAATAAGAAATGGATAAAAACTGATTTAATCTTTTTACTGAATTTTAAAGTATTGAACAGAACTGGTTTGCACAGCGCCCCCCAGAGGCCTGTGTGTAATTTGGAGTAATCAGTCAGCTCTGCTGCTGACGGTAAACATCCACGCATGAGTGGCGCGTGGAGGAGTTGACCACGTCAGCAGGTCATCAGGACGTGTCTGTTTGGAAACCATCTGCAGAACAAACACTGGAACCAGTTCCAGTTCCAGTTCTGGTGTAAACACTGAATCCAGATCTGATCGTGGCCTCTCCTCCCACCAGGGGTCCCGCTACGGACCCCCGCTGTTTCCCGCCCCGTTTCCGCCTCACCTGCAGGTGAACCGGGACGCAGATTATCCTCACGCACACTCACCGCAGGCGCACACGCACGCATCCCGCACGGCTTTGTGTTTGTGCCCAGACGCGTCTTTCTGCAGCTTCCTCAGGATTTCCTCCATGCTGAATCCGCGGCCGCAGCTGAAGGGGGGAAGCGGGCCTGGGAGGGTCGGTGCGTGGCTTTTTAAGGGAGCGGAGGCAGTGACAGCATCCCGGAGCCCCCCCACCGCTGCTGAGGATGAGGATGATGATGATTCATCCCAAACCTGCAGCCAATGATGTCAGGCCAGCCACAATCCCGTCAAGGTGGGAATGAACAGGAAGCGTCCGGGTTTCTGATCCCAGATCGGAGCCGATCACCTTCCGGCTGATAATCAATAATCAGCAGCTATCGGCCTCCTGCTCCGTTAAACCCGGATCAATAAATCCTCCTCGCCGCTGTTCGTGACTCGTTTATTCCTCCGATCTGTTGCGTTTTGGGAATCCGGTCCAGCTGATCCTTCTGCTCCAATCAGAAACCAGATCCGGTTCCAGAATCCTCCCGACCGGAGCGGCATCACAGCCGCAGTCCAAAAGGCGGATTCCTGCCCTACCTGGCAACCCAACATGCACCGTTTGTTTTCCTGGGTCGGACGCAAAGCGCGGCTGAGCGGCTCTGGAGCGGCTTTACGGGACACGGACAGGTGGAGGAAGCAGAGAGCGGAAACCAGCCTCTCGGTCTTCACAATAAAAGCACAACAGGAAACAGTCACTACAACTGATCTGTAGATTTTTAATAAAATGCAGCAGAATGTCTGACTGAGATTTTATTGAGTTTTATTATGTAAGAACAATTAGATCAGTTCATCAAGAAACCCACCAGGGCCGGATTTACAGGGATGTGGCCCCTGGGCTGGGGCCTTCTGGTGCCCCATTAACCACAGGTAGGAATGACAAACATACAGCAGCAGGTATGAACTGACACATCCATACTTACACATTTTGTGCATTTTCTTTTTTTAAAGCTGCACATTTGTTTTATTAGAATATGGATTTTTAATAACTACATGGTTTAGTTTTTTTCTTAAGTTGTGAGTTGTTGTTTTGTTTGTTTTTTTACCTTTATGTGGCAACACATTCCCCCCTTCACTATGGGATAATAAATTATAATTCTATTCTATTCTATTATATTCTAACACAGCTTCTAAATCAAAATGCCGTTACCTTTAGAGGAACACTTTACGTCGTTCAGATGAAAATTGCTCATTTATATGTAAATGTGGGGGCGGCTGTGTGTTAATCCCCTCTTTCAGGCTGGACGTCTCCCTGGACGACGAAAAACTGCCAGAGTGGAAAGAAAACATTCCTATGTTCCACATTAATATTACACATTAGACATGCACATACAGATTTATTGTTATTCATATAATTCTATATTTAAAATATACATATTGAGCAAATACTCATTGTATGGCTCCAATAATAATAAAAGGAGTAAGTAAAAAGTTTCAATATGAATGTATATAATTAAAAGATTAGTGGGAGTGTAGTATTCTTATTACATGTATATTTAAAATAAATGTAATCAAAGTATTGATTAATGTTGTGCAGTAACTGATCATATCTCTGAATGTATTTATTTTTCCAGTTAAGCTCATACAGGACAGATTGGTTTAATTTATTCCAGTCATTTCACTTTGATGGTTCAGGATTACAAAACCTCTGGCAGAAAAAAAACATTAAAACGATTCAGTGCCAAAATGTTGCTTTTCTACCAACTGGTGATATAAACTGAATTTAACTGCATTGTATTGTAACAAGTAAAAAACTGAAATGTGTGAAACTAAATTATAATCCGGGTTCATGACTGGATTATATCGGATGGATTAGATTATGTTTTTCTGTAGATGAATTTAACTTCCTGTGTTATAAAAGACTTTCAGATGATATTTGTAGTGAACTGGCTCAACAGCCAAACAACAGAAAGTTATGTTGCTAAAGAACCTGAATATTCACACGATGCTTTTAACATGTAGGTTGGTGGAAAGTTGAGTGGATGGAAAAAGTGTGAGAGAATTTTGTATGAGCATCAGTTTTTCAGTTTTTAAACTGAAATAATGAAGTGAATTCACTTTTTTATCACAATTAGATTAACTGTAAAATAAAAACAGTAAATGTAGAACAGACAGCTCACATACAGACTATCAGTTGTCTGGGGTTGATTTCCTAAAGGCTGCAAATAAATACCTCGACTTCCACCAAAAACAAAACATGTACTATTGAGTTAGCCCATAGCTAGGAGTTTTCAACCAGTTGAAACGTATCTGATTTTTTAATAGTAAATATTTTTTCTCATTTACAGATTTAGGTGTTGCCACTGCAGCCAGAAGCTCCTGGGTTTTAATCTCATGCAGAGTTGGCATGTTCTCCTGCTGCATGCTCAGGTTCTCTCCAACAGCTGTTAGTCTGTGTGAAACCTTCTGGGCTGGTTCTGCATCCTGACCTGGTCCAGATGAATCGTTCCAGGTCTTTGGACTTTGGTTTGGTGTGATCATGAACATCTGAAGATAGAAGATCTGTGGGAGAAACTCAGAATGATTCATTCACACTGGAGTTGCTAAGCATGGTGAGGTCTAAGGTCATGACCCCTGGGGATCTCAGAGACTTTCCTCCTCTTAACTTTCCAGGCTGCATAGAGAAGTAGCTTTAGCAGCTAAGTGACTCAAATGGAGGTCATTAGCACAATCTTTTCCAGCTTCAGTAACACAAATGGAGCTCATGTAATGACCCTAATGATTTACAATCTTCACTAATGAATAAGTAATGAACTTTGGACAAATGGATTCTTTAAAACCAGCCAAAACATTGTAATTACTGTTCAGACAGTCTTTGTTTCTCATCAGAAGACCTCTAAGGATGACCAGGGTCTGCACAGCCTAATGAGCTGCTGGACCGCCTGGAGGTGAGTTACTGAGGAGATGAATGTTCTCCATTCAGCATCCATTCACTGTTTGACCCACTTCCTTCTGCGTAGGATCAGCAGGGCGGCCAATCACAGAACCAGGCCACAGAACGGTTCCATGATAAAACTAAATGAAAGCGTGAATCACAGGCGGTGACTGAAGGGTCGGGTTCATCGCTCTGAAAAGAGATCAGACCGATGAGTCCGACAGCAGGCCTGCAGCGCATCGACTGTAATTATGAAATTAATGAGATTTAGAATAAGACTAAATTCAGTTCTGATCTCTACTGCTCCACTGAGGAGGAGAGAAGGGCTAAATAAAAACCCAAAACACAAACCATGAGAATAACTGAAAACTTTAACACATTCAGAGCTAATTCAGCGATAACCTGCTGCACTCTGCCATCTTTATTACATCATAAAGTAAAACATGTTGAAAGGTTGTTCCTGTTCTGAGGGGATCATCACATTTAAACAAATCTAAATAAAGGTAGCTAATGCCAAGCAGAGAGACCATGCTGGTCATAATGTTATGCCTTAATGATGGATCTTCAGGATTTATTGAGCAGCTCTTCGCCGTGCCAGCATGCAGTACTGAACTGTGACCACTGGAGGGCGGTAGACTCTAATCTTCAACCAGGCCGAGACTGATAAATGACTCCTGAAATGTTCCAGAGGGAGATGGACTTTATTTTCACCTGAAGCGACAAAACGTGACTGAAGCGAAGCGAAGTGAAGGCGGACTGGGGCTGATGCTGGAGTCTGAACTGGAAATAATGAGACGACTGAGACTGGGAGGAGAGGAGGGACAATAAATCATTCTGTTCGGTTATGTAACCATCCTGTCCTCTACGACACTTTCAATCATCATCTCGATCATTAAACCAGCTTTACACTCAAATTTTGTGTCTGTTACAAACTTTAATATATTTAATAAGTATTCATATAAAGCTCATCTGTGCTTCATATGAAAATGTTTGTTCTCTCCGGTCAGCAGATTCACATGGATTCACAAACACAATCCACAGAACATTTCCTCTTTGCTGCGCAATTACGCACAGCCACTCTGGCACAGATGGTCCGCATTCAGTCCAGAGCGCTCAGATGACCGGCAGAATTTCACCCTAATTACACTGTGTGTGCGTGTGTGTGTGTGTGTGTGTGTGTAGGTATGATCGGCTGCTTTCACGCTCTCCGAGGTGCCTTTTGACGTCACGTGGCAACTTTTGCGAGAGATCCGCGCGCTCGGTGGGTTCGGAGTTTCTGCGTGGTTGCAGCTGCTGGACAACAGACCGTCGGGGACACAAAACGGGATTTATGGGTCGGACTGTTTGGGAATGTGCCCAAGACGCGCCACATGCGTAATAACGCGCAGGATGTCCCCGAAGCTCGCCGAGACGTAGCTGTGTTCCGACTGAAAATAACACTTTCTTCACACCAACGCAGGCACAGCTGTGCGCGTCCATGTCACCGCTGGACGCCTGTCCAGTTCGTCCATGGATAAAAAACAACAGCCGGACTCCAGGATGCTTGTTGTGGGAGCGACTAACGGAACTTTCTCTGCTGACAACATGAGGTCCGCGTTCATGATTGAGGACACAGTCGGCGGCGGGGAGCCCGGCATTTCCACCAACATGATGATCTCTGAAGCTCTGGCGCCTCGGCTGCTGAAAATTGCGCAGGACGCCGCAGAGGCTGCGGCAGCGGCTGCGGCAGCGGCGGCGGCAGCGGCCACTTCTCCGTCCTCCTCCAGTCAGCCGCAGGTCATGGAGACGAACGGGACGCGGTGCGGGGAGCAGATCCTGAGCTACGGCCGCGTGGAGAAGGTTCTGATCGGCGGGGTGCTCACCATGCTCACCCTGTCCACCATCTGCGGGAACCTGTTGGTGGTCATCTCGGTGTGCTTCGTGAAGAAGCTGCGCCAGCCCTCCAACTACCTGATCGTGTCTCTGGCGCTGGCCGACCTGTCCGTGGCGCTGGCCGTGATGCCGTTCGTCAGCATCACGGACCTCATCGGCGGCCAGTGGATATTCGGACAGTTTTTTTGCAACGTTTTCATCGCCATGGATGTGATGTGCTGCACCGCGTCCATCATGAGTCTGTGCGTAATCAGCATCGACAGGTAAAAAAAAAAAAAAACTTCTGAAACTAAACCTCAAACCATAAAGTCTAATTTTTACAGGAAACAAAGAGTTGTAGGAGAAACTTTCACATCTTTGATCTGCAGACTTCATCAAACTGAGACTGTCGGATGATTTGTTATCCATTAATCCTTCATTTCCAGTGACTGAGTCATAAAATCAGATCTGTCTCCATCTGAGTTTTAGGATTTAAGGTTTGATCTCAGCTCTCTGGGCTCTCAGACAGATTCTGCTCTACGCCTGCATTTAGATCACTGAACACAGACTTTTATCAGTCCATGTTCTTGTAGTCTTTAGGAGTCACATTTCCCCCTGATGGTGGCTGTTCTGTTCTTTGAGGTCCAGCTGTAACCTGGACCTTCAGTCAGGCGACTTCCTGCAGCATCCGGCTGCTTTTCATTCAGAAAATCTCACAGCTCCCATCTGTGGCTGCATATGGCTCACACAGATTGTGGTTAAGCTCTTTGTTCAAGGGCACCTTGTTGGGGGTGGGGTGAGCGTTGCTCATGAGAGGCAAGTCATTTCTCCAATCAGCTCATTTTCAAGTCTAAACTGTAAACATCTTGTGTTTGTTTCGTCTGCAGGTACCTGGGCATCACCAAACCTCTGACCTATCCCGTCCGGCAGAACGGCTGCTGCATGGCCAAGATGATCCTGTCAGTGTGGCTCCTGTCTGCCTCCATCACCCTGCCCCCGCTCTTCGGCTGGGCGCAGAACGTCAACGACGGCAGAGTCTGCCTCATCAGCCAGGACTTTGGCTACACCGTCTACTCCACGGCCGTGGCCTTCTACATCCCCATGTCGGTCATGCTGATCATGTACTACAGGATCTACAGAGCAGCCAAGCTCAGCGCCGCCAAGCACACAATCACTGGCTTCCCCAGGGACGGGGAGCACCGCACAGGGGCGGCACACAGAGGGGGCCGCGGGGTGCACGAGCCCCGGCAGCCATCGGAGTCTGGGGAGACGGGGAGCGTCGAGGCAACGGAGACGGAGCAATGTGATGAGGAGGCGGAGGAGGAGAGCCTGGACTGCGTGGCGGCGGCACTGAAGCTGCAGCGGGAGGTGGAGGAGGAGTGCAGTAGCCGCGTGTCCCGCCTGCTGAAGAGTGGCGAGCACCACCAGCGGAGGAAGCGGAAGAACCAGTCCATCTTCAAGCGGGAGCAGAAGGCGGCGGCCACCCTGGGCATCGTGGTGGGCGCCTTCACCTTCTGCTGGCTGCCGTTCTTCCTGGTGTCCACGGCGCGGCCCTTCATCTGCGGCGTGGAGTGCAGCTGCGTGCCGCTGTGGCTGGAGAGGACGCTGCTGTGGCTCGGCTACGCCAACTCACTCATCAACCCCTTCATCTACGCCTTCTTCAACCGCGACCTGCGGACCACCTACAGCAACCTGCTGCGCTGCCGCTACCGGAACATCAACCGGAAGCTGTCGGCAGCCGGCATGCACGAGGCTCTGAAGCTGGTGGAGAAGCCAGACACAGACGCCTGAAGAGGCAACGCAGCCAGTCAGGAGAGCCGCTGTGAAACATCCAGAGGGCGGGACTAACCTCCCTGCTGCCAGACTGATTATCTCCTCCTTATGTATGAAGGTTAAGGCCAGAGGGGAGGCTGGTGTTGGACAGGCTGATCAGGGATGTCTGGCTCTACGGTGGACTGGGTTTAGCGGACAGTAGCTGACCGAGCTGCATGCTGGTTTTCACGCCTCTGTTTGGACGGATGGATCCACCAGCTCACGTCTTGCTGCCTTTCGTTTTCAGTTGGAGCCTCGGAGAACCAAACAGGAGCTGCAGCCGTCTGCTAGTTGGTTCTCCACCAGCTGCTCTTCAGCACACACACCTGCACAAACAACGACTAACGTGTAAAAATGTAAATAATCTACAGATTAACGTTCTGGAGAGTCTAGCTGCTTTTCGTCACCGTGCTTATTGCTTGTTCCAGAATAGTTAGCAGAAAGCTTCTGTGTATCTGATCCATGATGTTTGTGGCTCTCTTCTGAACAGAACTTATTTATTGTGAGATGTTAGCACAGCCTGTAGGGGAGAGGAATGTGATGCTGTAGACACTGGATTGAACGTCCTGTGCCTTTTCCTGCTCTGTCCTTCAGGTTTTGGTTGCAGGGAACAACAGCCTCATGTTGAAACCTGCACTTTGTGCTTCATTTACTCAGATCTGCACTGGAAGGGAAGAAGAAACTGATTTAAACTCATGTATTTATAGTTGTGGCCACTGAGCACTGACGCACATTTATTACTATTCTGTGTTTCCTTCAAAGCAGAAGGACTGTCAGGAATTACAACTCAGTGTTGTTGGTTTATTACTCCTACAAAAGCTCTGAGAAAAACTGAGAAACTAAATAATTACTTATGAGAAATGATCATCAATAAAACATGTAAAATGTCCTTGTAGCTCCAGAGCTGTACTTTACAGCAGACACACCATTTGATTTGAAATGGGTCACCGAAATTTGGGCTCCAAATTCATGAGCTGCTTCCTTCAAATGCCGCATTAAAAGATCGATTGACTCACAGCTGTAAGAAGAGGATTGTCTGGATTTCTGGATTTTTCGTTTTGTCCCCGGATGTGAAGGGTTTAGTTTGTCCTTCGTGGTCCATCCTATCCCAAGATGCACTGCGGCCAGAGAGTTTTGTTCTTGTAACAACGGCAGATGAAATGGGAGGAAAACTGCTTTAAATCTAAAAATCTAAATGTTCCAGAACAAAAATCAGAAGCTTGAAGTGGTTGCTGTCATCTGCGTAGGCATGTTTTAATACAAAATTACTAAAATATTTATTTATAAGTGTAATACATTAAAAGGGTAACAGTAATCATTACCAGTTTGTGTTTAGTTGCTAGGCAACAAGGCATACGCAGAGGTCAGGTTGGACCATCCAGTTTTACTCGCTCTCTTCCGGCCGTTACGGCCGATGAAGAACCGGTTAAAGTCGACCGTTTAGGATGCAGCCTCTGAACTTGGAGCTTTAACTGAATCAGTTATCATCTTAAAAACTGATTGTTTTCACTCAAAGTCTAAGTTTTTCCCACAGAAAGTTCTGAGATGATGAAACAGAATCGTTTTGTATCTAACCTCCATGACCACAGTTTAATCTCCACATGTACAGTTCATAAATCTACTGTTGGATATTTTTGTCTTCGGTCACCCAGTGTGTTTCCTGCTGGTATCAGGCTGACAGAGTTCTGTCCTTAATGAGCCCAGAGAACAGAGTCCGGAGCCAAACTCCAGTTTATTGATCTCTGATGTTTTCTTTCCAAACTGGAAGTGATTTTTTAAGCAGCCTGATTTCCACCATAAAACATGACAGACTCTGAAGTTCACAGGCTGGACCAGCAGCCGGTTCAGTCGCTCTTGCTTCGAGAATCATTCAGATATCATCACACGGTTTCGTTTCTTTGAGGCAACAAACAGAGTGATGCAGAGTGTGTTGCCATGGCAACCAGTTACAGATGTCCCCGGTTCTAGTTCTTGCTCAGCGGGTTTGATAATGGCCGCCCTGTTGACCCGCTCTGGTTTAAACTTTTTACATCACAGTTTGAAATGAGTCAGTTCAGGACCAAAAGCCTAAAAGACAAACAGGAAGAGCTTAACTGGACTTCCTGTACTCGCCAAAATAAGAGTCTTTCTCTGTCACAGGTTGGATGATAATCATGAAAGAAGAAAGGTAAAATATGTTTGATGTTTGGGCCGCAGCATCAGAATCATTGTCTCTTTCTGTAACAGTGGCTGGATTCTTTTGTGGGTGTGTTTTTAATTAAAAGTGCCAGAAAAATGATTCATAACCTGTGAAATATTCAAAGAGCTCCCAAATGGAAAAAACAAGATGCAACAATAATGAAATCACATGAATATGAAACAAGCGCTGCATGTTTTATATATCAGGCTGAGGTTAAAAGAACTAATATTTCATCTTTTAAAGATGCTGAAAACAAAACGGGGATGAGTTTCACCAAAATAACACAAAACATCTTTAACCTTTCAACTGTTAATTTCATCCAAACTGAACAACAATCAGGTCCAACCAAAACTAAAGTAACTGACAGAACCATAGAAGCTCAGTGGATCAGGACACTAACCTCTTGGACAACTTTCCTCCCAGAAATGAAAGTTTTTGGTCCATTCAGCAGGATGTAAAACCTGATATAACAATATTGTCCTGTAAGTTGATCAGGGTGGATTATTGAGTTTAAAAACCAAGAATCTGGTGCTTTAATTTAATAAAAAGAATATGTATCCACTATATTGGATGTGAAGAAAGAGAAGCTGCTGTGTGTTTATGACAGTCTGAGTTTAATTCAGGTGTGTGCTGGGGTTGTGTTTGAACTGGAGCAGCGTAAATTGCATTTATGTTTTATTTATAGAATAGAGTTGTTCTTTTGTGTAAAACAATGGATTCTCCCCCCTGCTGCTTAAATTCCTCCTCATTACGGCTCATTCTGCAGCAGCAGACGGAGCAAAGCAGGCTGGGAAAACCGTTCTGCTGAGGAAGAGGATCTCTCCTGCTGACGCCTTTAACTCGTTCTTTAATCATTAATTAAAGCTGCTCTGTGCAGGAAATGAAAAATATACAAAATCCATGAAGCTGCCGGGTTTTAATCTGTAAGTGGGACAGAATCAGATGATGGAGCAGAAATCCTCCTCTGATTCAGACGTTCAGTGAAGATGTTTCAGTCTGAGTCCATTTGGTTGTGCAGGAACCAGAGCTGCAGACTCTGCAGCGGTTCTGCTGGGTTTTGGTCAGGAAATGTTCCCGGACTGGTGCAGTCATGCATCAGAACCTGAGCTGCCCTCGCTCTGGGCGCAGAGCCACAGTGGCTGAGGTCCATGTTCTGCCACAGCAGATATGGAGACCGGAGTCCAGCAGACACACACAGGAACACACACTCAGCAGTCTGTGCTGTGACGTGGTGGAGACGCATCAGGCCCCGTCTCCAAACCTGGACCTCATATAATCAGTGAAGTTAAACTTTGAGTTGTTCATCTTTGGTTCTTCTGTTCCCGTCGTCGACCCAAACCATCTCAGCCTTAAAAACAAAGCTGACTTCACTGTTGTAACTTTGAACAGGAGGGAGAAAAGAAACGAGGTTTTTCTGTGCTTAAATATTTCTATCGTAATGTTAACTTTGATTTGTTTTCATTAGAGTCACGGTTCTTCAAAAAGATGACTGATCAATTTATTTAGTTTTAAGGTTTCAAATGTCCACCTGAAAAATGTGAATCGACAAAAACAGTTAAACGAGATGTCAGCTGATAATTAACGTTATTAAAATGTGTAGATTTAGGAATGAAAACTGCAGCAAAGGTAGAGTAATAAATGTGATGTTTGTAGAGAATCAACAGGGCATAAGGTCAGAGGTGAGCCTTAATTAACTAGATGTGACTAGTGTGTGATGTGTGTTTGTGCCAATAGATCCTTCACTCAGTCAGTTTAATGGATATTTGTTGGATTTGTTCCATTTGTTTTTTCTTCACATGCAGCTCTTTGCATCCTAAACAAGCCGTTCTGTATCTGTGATGTTTTTCATGCTGTTGTTTGTGTCTTATATGAAAAATGGTCACATGTCATCACCTCTGCAGAGAAGCAGATCAGAACATGAACACATTTCCTCCCCTGTGACATCAGCTGCTTCCATGACCCATAAAATGAAACACGTGGAAGTTTAATTGGGTTTATCTGGGTCAGACACGTCTTCATTGTTTTACAGAATCATTCTTTGTGTCTTTCTTAGATTTATAATAATCTTACTGCAGGTTTTCTCAGATCCTAACAGGGTTCAGAATCTGTCCTTAATCATTTTCACCTTAACCAGAAGTTTTACTGCCATCATTGAGCTGCTGGGGTTTTTCTGTTTGAGTCTTTTTGGCAGAACTGATTGGATGTACTGGACCTGGTTGGAACTTCAGAACCTTGTCCCTGAAGGTTGAGCTCGGGGCTTTGGGATGACCAATGCAGAATGTTAATGTTAATGATTATTTTATCCATTTCCAAACATTTTAAATGTGTTTGGGATGATTGTCCTGCTGGTGCATCAAACTGGGTCCAAGTGTCAACAGTCCAGCTTTTCATCTGAGATTAAATCTGAGATTTTTGCTGTAGTTCTTCATTTTTTTATCCATTTTGTCAATCTGACATACCTTCTGGCATTGTGGCAAAAAATAATAAAACTGCTAAATTTAGCCCAGTATGAAGATGTCTGGATGGAAGAAGGTCTTCTTTGTTGGTCGACACCTTCTAGTTCGTAGTAACATCAGACGGTCTCCACTGGATTCAAAGATCTGGTTGGTTCTGGTTGGTTCTGAACATCTGGACCAGTTTCCTTTAACATTTAGCATATTGGGTTTTCCTATCAGTTTGGTAAAGAGGATTTTCTTCCTACATTAAAAGTTTGAAATCCTGGTCTTGGAATCTGTGGACGGTTCTGAAGGATTCCCAACATGCACCAACATTCCCTGAACTTCCCGTTTGCTCAGCTCAGTGATGCTGAAGGAGTCAGAACGGTCTCAGTCCGGATCGTTAGCTGCTGGTCTCCACTGATCCAGACGCTGCATGAAGGCTCCATCCTGGAGAAAGAACGGATTAATAGTCTCATGATTAAAAACATTCATGTCCGTAATGAGTCGTGGAAATCTTCTGACTGGATCTGTATCAACACCGAACATTTCATGACAATAAAATATTTTCAGAATGTCTACAGAGTTTCATTTTTTATAGAAATGATGATGTACGTCTGTTAGCCTGTAAGCTGAGCTGCAGCGTCGTCCTGCTGTCCACACAGAGAGTCTGATGGACATGATGATCACAGAATCAGAGCTGCTGCTTTATGCAGAGAGGTAGTTATTAATATCAAAATCCTTCTCTACATGCAGGGCATGAACTTTCTAAATGTGTTTCTTAAAGATGAAAGTTAGCTTTGCTTGCCTCTCTGTAAATAGAAACGATGCAACCTTCACCTGAACTGAACCAGGCTGTGCCAAAAATAAAAGCCTTTTAGTGAAGCAGCGCCGTGAACAAACAGCTGAAGTTCTGCAGGTCACTTCCTGTTTCCTGCGTTCTCCACATCGTCTGACGTTAGCAAGAATGCAAAGGATCAAGGTCACTACTTGGCTAAAAACCTTGAATCACAAACATGAAAGAATTAATTTAATACTTCAAACAGAGAGAGGTGCTTTGATTCCTCGTCACAGTAACAGAAACGCAGCGCTCCAATTATACGGCTCTAAATGTGCTTTCATGTGGAGGAAGTGAATGGCCTGGAACCATGACACCGTTTCAAACATTCATCTCCAGGGAAGCAGCGAACAAGAACAACACGGCCGTATCTGTTTGATTTGCTAATTTTCTTTTCACTTTTTGTCAGAACATCAAACACCAAACATTAACAGCAGCAGCTAATCTGAGACTTTACAGCTTTTAAAACATCATTTTTCTGAAGGATCAGTCTGATGTTCACACCAGGAAATGTTTGGTTCCGACTTTATTCTTTCTGGTTTGATTTCACATTCTGCTTTTTTACAACTATAATTTGTATATAAAGCCGTGCAGGTGACCATCAAGGCTCCAACTGGACGAAAATGAAATTATTTTTTATTTAATTGAGATAAATCACAAAGCTTCTGACCATTTGGTGTGTTTGTAGTTATTTCTGTTAAAACTCAGGACAGACAAAGTTTGTAGGAGTGAACAAAATAATATTTAAAATGACAAACAGAAACAACAGAAACACAAAGTAAAAGTTGTGCGCATATGTCCTAGTCAAAGTACAAAAAAGTACAAATTGACAGCAAATCAAAACATTTTTTTCAAGAGGGAATCTGAAATCAAAGTATTTAATCTGATGCTGATTATGACCTGGAATCAATATAATCAATATTTTGGATCTGAAACATTTAATAATGTGATTTTAGATGTTTTTGCTCCATTTTTATATCTGACCTTTATATCTGCTATAAAATGTGCTTATGGGTTTTTATGGAGATTTTTCAGTGATAAAACAGACTTTATTTTCATTTCTAAGCAGATTTACACAGAAAACATAAGCTGCTTCCACAGCTACTGCTCTGTTTTACGGCTGATGACGATCTGAGATGAAATCCTGTGGTGTCGTAACATCATGTTGTTTAAAACAGACTCTGAGCTGATCTCATTTGATTTATTGTCCAATCTGGCACAAGCTGTCTCTGCTCCCGTCACTCAGACGCATCTGTCACCGAGGCTGAATGATGGAGACCCTGGTGCCTGAGACGCTTCAGAGGAAAACAGGTTTATCTGTGAAGTACGGGCTCCTGTGAAGGAAAAACTCCAAAGCAGTAAATATAAAGTTAGATTAAGGGAAAAAAAATCAAACCAGACTTCATATGGAAATCTGATCATGTCTGAGACAAAGGCATGCAGGGAATGCTGATGGACTCATGACTTAAAGGAAGAAATGAGGTGAGACCCGAAGGAGCCAAAATAAACGACATTAGAAAGCAGCAGAATAATCAGAGCAGCAGAAACTTTATGAACAGTTCAGTGAACAGCAAGCAGAGGAAGAAATGATGAAGTAAACTTCTCTGTAGTGACACCTCTGATTAAAACTCAGCTATCTGATGAGGTTTTCTGAAAATGCTGTTGTCACGGTGACAGATGTAAAGATGAAAACACGAGGATCTGTCCAGGATGAACCCCACCTGTCAGCCGATGACCCCTGGAGAGGAAGACCAGCTTCTCCGGATGGAAAACAGAAACCTGAACGGCACCGACTCCCATCATATTTCTAATAATTATCTGTCATG